CTAGTTAGGAAAGTTATGAAAAAATTTACATGCCTATTTAGCATTTTAAAACTACCACATTGGGCTAGGTCTCCATTTAATGGAATTGGCACTAAAACAGAACTGCACAAGCTGAGAACCTAGTCCTTCATTTGACCTTCTGATTATTAATCCAATTAATCACTCAGTGGTAGATTTAACTCAGTTCTTCATGCCTGCATAGCGTCAGCCTGGTAGGAGGTTCTCCATTCTTCCCCCGATAAATAAGTCTTTTATTCTTCTGCCCAGAAAAAGAACAATATTAAATAAATATTCTGTTCCCTGAGAGTAATTACACATAAAATAAGGAGAGAAAAAGCCAAGTATAACAAACTAAATCAGGCAGAAAGCTTATTCATCTTTAGTATACAGAATTATTCATAGTTGAATTCTGCTAAATTCTTTACGTGCAGTATATAGTATTATATTGCATTAATAATTGCCTCACAGTAATGGCACTACTCATAGGAATAAACATTATTTGGTTTATACAGAATTAAGGCATCACCTCAATTTGGACCTGGCACACAAACTGGAGGGTACGCAGAGGGGGAACTGACCCATGCTCACACAACCAATTTCAGTTGGGGAAAAAAAAAAAAACAAAACAACCAACCTATAAGCACTGCTCCCAAGACTGATGCTTCTTGAAACACTGGCTAGTTGTCTGAGTGTGTTTTCTCTAAGGTAACAACAGCAGTGGGGAGCACAGGGCTGGTACCCCACAGCTCTTCAAGCAGAGAGCTCTATCGCACTCACTGTGCAGTGTGATGTAGGGCATACCCAGTCATAAACTAAATGTGATTGTTTCAGTTATTTGAAAGCAACTTCTGAAATTGTCAAAGCAGGTATCTAGTTACATCATGATAACAGCAAATTATGGGGATTAGCTATTAGCAATATGTTTTTGCAGTTACTTTGACACCAATATAGCACTTAGCCATTGCAACACAGAGCCAGAAGGAGCAATTTTTTTTTGTCTGTTATTGTTGGATTTTGTAGCCTACACTGAAATTAGCTGAGAACTAAACAGTTATCCTCTCTCCTCCATCAATCCATTTTTTACCAGAACCAGTATGTATGACTGCTAATAGTTGCAGTAAAACCAACAAAACATTCTCTTATAACAAATTCTGTTCCGAGTATGAAAGGCTGGCAGAACTAAGCCCCCGACTTAAAGGCGGTCTCCTAAATAGAAGCTTTTTCACCTATAGTCTGCTTTTTCAAATTGCTGTACTACAGTTATCATATTTAGAAAACTTGGAACATTGTTAATGTACATATTTACTGGAAGAGACAGATTAGAATGGTGGGTGTATTTTAATCCCTTCATTGCTATTAGGGCCCTCTTTGCTCTTGCAGTGTCTGTGGAGACAGGTTGTTGGATGCAAATTTTGCAAACAGAGGTGTACATTTCACAAGAAGTATAATTCAGATTGACATCAACTATGGGAAAATTCATATTTTTCCATGCTCCTATGCTTCTGGGCTCGAGAATGATAATACACACAGTTTAAAAGGTACAGGCTTCAGTGAGGACCAAAATGGTGTATAAATGTCTGTTCTATATTCTCCTAGGGGAAGACTACACAAATCTTGAAAAGAAATTTGCTTCTTCCATTTCTTGTACCTCCTTTTATAAATGTGTTGATTTTCCTGGTGTTGAACTAAAAATTATATTTAAAAGTCTAGATCATGTGAACATTTTTCAGCATTTTCAGTATTCTAGTATTTCAGTATTCCACTTTTCAGTATTTTCAGTGTTTCTACTACTTAATATTCTACTTTTACTAACTCCTGAATATTTAAATAAATACAAGATTTAGCTGAGGTACAATCTGGAGTAAAACAGGTCTTGCAGCGTAGCCCCATGGGGCTTCCTGTTGTCCTGCAGCTGGTACAGCGCTTGCTCCCAGCTGCAGGAGAACCGAGCCCCACCAGCTTTCTTGGTGGGACTTCTCTAACCATCAAACAGTTGCCACTGGCACTGAAGGTTTAAGATCACTGGCTAGTTGAAGTGGTTTGGAACTTTCGCAACATTTCAAAACACTCAAGTCTTAAGTGCCTTTGGAAAAAGATCTTTATAGGAAAAGCTTTTTTCTCTTTAAGTAAAGATGTCTGTACTTAAGAAAACAGTGTTAAAAATAAATGGCTACATCACTAAATACAAGCATTGTCTTAAAAAATACAACAGGAAGAAATTTCAGTTTTCCTGTACAAGCTTTTTAAAAAAAAAACCAAAACAAAACCCAAAAAACAAACAGAAGACATTTGATCCAGATACTGTCATAAACTCTTTCTATATAGATAAACTAGGAAAAGTGAAAAACCGAAATTTAACTTTTTTCTTTTTAAACACTCATGAAGACACTTAAAGCACACTGAATGAAGGCATTCATTCTTTCCACAGAAGGATCAAAAGGAGGTCTGTTCTAACAACAAAATACAGAGACATATAGTTATCTTTGAAACTAACTCTTAAACTTTAAAAACAAATACACACAGATCCCCACAATACCTCCCAAGTTCTTTCTAGCTGCCCCATAGTACCTTAGCTCTTAGTCTCCTTCACAGCACTTGAGAAATTCCAGACAGAATTTCTATTCAAAACCACTCCTTAAATTTAAAAATGTAAAAAAAGTTAGTTTTAGTTTACTTTGGAGTTAAACACTGTAAAAATACCCTGAATTTTGGAAGTCTTGTTAAAAGTTACAGGATTTTAATTGACATTTTGATTTTAAATAAGTTTCTGGATAGTAACGAGGGCCCCCTAAATATTATTTAAAATGCTTAGTACATATTTTATGACATTTAAACTATCAAGCAATGCATGTTAACTCAATATCCCTTTTATTTTCCTCCTTTATCTTTAGTAATTTATTTCTCTGTAAAATTTTAGGGTGCTTTTTAAAAAAAACTACTCTGATGGCAGAGTTCAGCAACACATCAGTATATTCTGAAAAAGCTTCTCTTGCTTGGGAATAAGAAAACATAGAAAGCATTTCTCCCTTTCTTTTGTTTTAGTTAAGCTTTTAGGAATAGCTTCAACCTTTCTGCAAGGGCAGCAGTAGTCTTATCTGGGATATACAAATATAATAAGGTGGTATGATTTCTCGTTTCAACTGTAGTGTATGTATATGTTAACATGAATGTACCTAAAAGCTAAGTAAAACTAGTTTTAAGAAGGTCAGTGATGCTTGAAGGAATCCTGGATAACTTACGTTGTAATCCACAAATGCTAATGAAATCTCCTTCGTAGGAACAGGACATTAAAAAGTTCTCCGTAATACAGTATTATACCTCAATATAATGATTTGTGTCAAGAGTACTTCTTGAAACCCAAGTAATTTAGATTGTATGCATGAGGAAGTCTTACTTTTAAATGGATTCATAATATTTAATTATAGAATTTTCAGAAATTAGGAAAAATTTGGGCAGGGTGATCTAGTCTGTAGTCTTTTACTTAGAAATAGGATCAATTATAATTACCTAGCTATTCTAGACAGCTGGATGTCTATCTGCTGCTGGAAACTGCACTGTTCTTGATAGACTTTTCTTCATGTCTAATGCAAATTTCTGTTGCTGAAACGCCAGTCCTATCTTAAGAGCCATACCACCTTACAGAGTTTCAAGTCTACTTTGTGGTAGTAAGCATGTTGTGAGAAGGTCTTAAGTGAACAAGTATCATGTTGTACAGCCAGTTAATAGATGAAGCTAAGAATCCTCCTTTTATAATCACAAGGTTTCTCAAAGTATCAAAATCAAAGTCTGAAACTCCCTGTAAACTGACAGTCAGGAATCAGTCTGGCTTCCACAGGCATCTGAAATATGCATCTCACTGTCTCCAGCTGGTTTTGCTTAACATTTCCTATTTACCTTGCAAGTGAGTAATTAGTAATTAAATGTTTGTCTTTCCTAAAAAAAAAAAAAAGAAATCAGATTACCTCAATAAGATTTCTGCCAACTGATTTTCCTCCCCTGTGGAATGGTTATTGCTGTTCTAATGACATCTACTTAACATGGGTTATCTGGATATTTTTTAGTCTTTAGTTTCTTATTTGATACAGGAATGAATTAAGCTAGGTAATTATTTCTTAATTAGACCAGTCAGTAGACTAACACTGTTCAAACAACTGTCAGAAAAGAAATACTGTGACAAGACCCCATAACACTGATTAAGAGTAATAGTCTTTATGGACCAGTCACCCAAATCATGGGTGGGTGTTTTTGCTTAGGAGCTTAAACCAATTTCAGGAAAATCCTGTAAAAGCGAGTAAGGAAGTAGGTCTGCTTTCATTCTCCAATTAGTTACCATTTACACTGGCTGTATCCTTCTGTGTCTAGCAGTGACACCTACGTTCCCTTCCAGCATAAGTCTGCTACTCTGCCCTTTGAGAGAACACCAAGAAAGCTGTTTTCAGAAACACCTAACACAACTCAGGTAATGGCTGGCTGGTTAGCAAGTTCTTTTCTCCGTTGCTATCTCTTCTCCTAATAACATTCTCATTGAGTTAGTCTGTGTCCCAAACTCAAGAAATATCTTTATTATGATGGCATCAAAAGGTTAAAATTTAAAAGCATGATAAGACTATATAACCTTGCTTAACACATTGATTAGCAATCATCTGACTTACCTGTGTATGGCAGCTCCACAGACACTGGAAAGAGAGGCATAAACTCCATCCCCAAAGACATAAAATTGCCAGAGAGGACAGTTTGCTGGGCAAAGAACATCTTCCGTCTCCTTTCTAAGATCAAGTCCTCTTGTAAAGCATGTGATAGCAGTGGAAGCTAAAGAAAAAACAAGAATGTGTGACATGAAAAATCATAAGGGTAGTTGTTTTTGTTGTGGTTTTTTGTTTGTTAGTTTTTAATCTTTCTACAATTTCCAGGTTTAAAACAATGTTTAAATTTGAAATTACATAGTCTCATCTTATGCTCCAGTGCATCTGTACAGATATTTTTGGAGCTTACAAGTGCGCAGCTATGAAATGGAAGAACACGCTTTATTTATGGGAAAAAAATGGCAGGAAACAGGGAGAAAAGCTTAAAAATTTAAGTAATTAAAATAAGAGAAAACAACACTAAAATAACATTAAAATAAGATCCAAGGAATATTACAGGGAGGGAAAAGCACAAGCAATTCACATCTCTAAGTTTACGCCAGACAGAGGAGCAAGGGGAAGGAGTTTCAGTGGCTGCTGGAACACAAGAACGGATAGCACTCTCCAAGGGAGAAATTAAATGACTCTGAGGTCCCCACAGTAACGTCCAGCCATAAGACATCTGTGAATCACTTGGGAAACTCTGAACCTTCTCTCCAGTGGCATTCACAAAGCAGGTTGACAACAACAGTGTTTCCCTCAGTCTCTGCAATAAATCCTATTGAGGTCAGTGTTTAGAAAAAGAAAAAAGTACCCATCTCCTTGCTCCAGTAATACAGTAACATCTAGAACACACATATAAATTCATTGCAATGAAGTTTACATCATTATTGTGCAAAGGACTGTCAGATTGACCCAGAGAGACAGAAGTTATTCATTTAGCTGAGGCACATGCATTTTTCACATAGAACTCCACCCTTTTGTTTTTCTTAGAAGTTGCTTCTCAGGTGGCCATCATCAAGTTTTTACTTAAGAAGTCTGAGACACTCAACAGAATCACCATGCTTATACCTAGAAACATATTTTCTTTGTTAAAGTGCTACATTATTGGTGTTATGCCAAAAGAAGTTAACTTGCTCTGCTCTTCGAGTCCCCTGATCCTTCCATGAAACTTCTACAAACATGTTAGCCAATTGCTGGGCAATAATCAACTAATATCCACCAAATGACAACCAGTAAGACCATCAGAATCAAACAGCAGCTGGAAGGCTTGATGTCCTTGGAGGAATCACTGCATTAACCATCATCCCATTCTGTTAAGACACACACTCTTCAAGTCTCACAGAAACACACTACACCAGGGTACACCATAAAAACATAGTACAAAGAGAAGAAACTGTATTTCTTCCTGATTTAAGTCATATTTAAAGGTAGAGATGAAAGTCTTCCGTCACTGTTGACCTAAAAAAGAAAACAGAAAGCAAGGCTCACTTCTGTCCTAAAACATCCACCCAAAACCAGTATTTTCAGTCATTTCATGAGTTTCCATCTTTTTGGTGCATCATTCCACGTACTCTGATTTGCCCTGAGTAGCTGTTTATGCCCACCCATAAAAGTTCCCACAGTTTTTGACAGAAGTCACTAATTTAAAAAACACTAGAAAAATAAAATCCACAGCAAAATCTGAACTTTTCTAATCTTGAAATTTCTATGCATTGCTTTGGGAAAGCAGACTTCGTTTATTTAAAGGAAAAAAAAACCCTATGTATATTATTACAAAAAAAAATAGAGAAGTACATCCTTATTATGCTTCTTATTCCTTTTAGTACTGTTTCTTGGCAAAACAGGAAGATTTGAAGTAATTTTTCATCTTGAGCATTCAAACTTTTAGAGTTCTTTTACTTTTGATATCTTATTCAAAGAATAGTCCCACAAACCTTAACCCATACTAGAAAAAAAAGATACTAGTGAAACATACCTGTTTATATTTTGGAAAACATGTTCACAGACTGCATACTAATTCATGTAATCTTAAATACACATCCTAATCTGGACAAGGGCAATGGGATTTTTGAAAAAATCTGGTCAGGGCTGTATCGTTCATTTCAATCTGAGACTTGCACTTTTCTGATGAGCTTAAGGTCGCTTCCCATCCCATGCCAATGTTCACCCACCCATGCAGTCTCATGTATGGTAACCAGAACTGTTGAACTCGGTAGTATTTATATGCATTTCAGGGGGAGTATAAGAAAAGATAAAAGATCCTTTAAAATCTCCCTGAGTAGTTACGAGCCTAAATACAGTAAATTTTTGAGGAAACTAATGTTCTTTCATTACTTTGAACAGAATTTAAGCACTTTCATAAGAAGTTCCTGCAAACTTCTAGTTCAATAACCAAATGCTGCTGAATTTAGGCTCAGAATAATGGTGAGAGACAATAACCTACAGCAACAGCTCACATTTTATACTACAACCACATCCTGGTAGCAGTACTCCATTTCGCCAATATTCCCTTAATGTTATTTTAGTTTGTTCCAGATACCTTCAGATTACAGAGGTTTCTTCTTCAACCCTGGCAGGAAGCATTACAGAAATTGTTTCACTTGTTTCCTGACAGACTGTTGGCACTTCATCTGTAATGCATCTGTAGAGTAAGGAGGAAAGGAGTGGTGGTTCAAGTAGGTTTTCTTTTACTGGGCATTTTTTTCCTCTTTTTTTTTTAGCCCTAGCACTTCTGTGACATACAGCTATCATCAGTTTAGCATAAAATAATTTTCCAAATGCTTGATTGAACACAAAGCGAGCAGTAAATCCTGCTTTCTAATGCCAGTGAAATCCTGAAGAACCATTCAGAAAAGCTTGAGGTCACTCACCTTCTGTGGGCCAGGCCTGCTTCTGGAAGTGCATCCTTCTGGAGGCTCCTGCCCTCCCTTGGGGAGAGGCTCCGCTGGAAGGGGCAGACAAACCGCTTGCGTCCTTTGGGCTAATTGTTTCTTTAACTGTTTCTTGTGGCTCCTGGTTCCCGTGGATTGACTCTGGCTCCAGGAGAGCCTGCTCTCCAGCGGCAGGGATGCCATCCAACAGGGCATGGAGCAATGGGCAGCTCCTGCCCTGCTAGGCAACGGTACCTTCTTTTGCTTTCCAGGTCAAAGCAACGGCAGGGCAGGTTTAGAGAGTTTTTAATCGATTCCAGGGTCAGAAACATGTCGTAGGTCCTCAAATTGCCAAGCACTGCTCGAGTGCCTTTGTAACACACAAACACACCCCACTCACTCCTGCTACCAGCACTCCCCTGGACGGGGACACTTGTCACCACTGCTTTTTTTCAACCTGTGCCAGGAGGGAGTTTCACCCCCGTTTGGCAGCGTTCCCAGGCATCCTCTGAGCCCTTCTGCAGCCTCCCCGGGGGTCACCTCCCCAGCGGCCGGACACGGCCCCAGGGCAGCGCTGCCAGCCCGGCCCCGGCGCAGCGGCTCCCCCCAGCCCGGCCCCCTCCGGCGGGGACGCGCCGAGCCGGTACCCGCGACCCCCGGGCCGGGGAGGGACCGGCAGAGACGGTCCGAGGGAGAACCCCCCGGCGGGGAGGCGAAGGGGGGAGGGCGGCCAACTCACCCGAGCCGTCGCTCCCTCGCACGGGGCCGGAGAGCAGGAAGGCGCCTGCGAACAGACAGGGAGCGGGGTCGGGGCGACGCTCCGCGCCCGCCCCGCCGGCTGCCTCCCAGCCGCGCCCCGCGGTACCCACCGAGGAGAAGGGGGGCGACCCACATGGCGGCAGGGAGCCCCGCAGCCCGGGGGAAGCCGAGAACAGAGGCGAGGAGAGGAGAGGAGAGCAGCGCAGCACAAGGCAGCCCAGCCGCCCCCACCGCGGGCCGCCGTCCGCTCCGCGCTGTCCCAGCCCCTCCGCGGAGCTGCCCGGCCGGTGGCAGCCGCGCCCGCTTTAAACCTCTCCCGGGCGCATGGGCACTGGGGCGGGCGGGAGCGAAGGAGGGCGCGGGCAGGGGCTGGGCGGCCCCATCACCGGGCGAGGCCCGGCAGGTGCTGGTCCTTGTCTCGGCCCCCGCCCCCGCCGCTCCCCCGCCCGCTCCCGCCACCCGGCTCCTGCGGGAACGGCTCCCCAAAGCAACGGGGTCCCTCCCCGGTCCCGCACCCATCCCGGACAGGCAGCGCGGGCACAGGGGTCTTCCCGTGCCTCCTTTGCCATTTTTCTTTCCAGATCTGCCCGCACACCCCTCTGTTTCCCTTCCGCCTACGGGTTTTGAATACGATATTTCAGATATATTTATATCTAGTATTATTATTATCGAATACATTATTTCAGATATCTTTATCCCAGATATCTTAAGAAATGCGAGTGAGCTACCAGGTACTTGGCCACAACATCTGTCCCTTCCTCGAAAATGAACCAGGGGGCAAAGCTGTCAGGAGCGCTCCCCCGGCTCCTTCCCTGCCCGCCCCTGCTCCGTGCCGGCGCCGGGAGCGCAGCGGGGGCCGGGCGGCAGGTCCCCCGGGGCCGTGCACCCCCGCCCCGGCGGAGCCGCAGCGGTGCCGGGGCGTTAACTCCTCCCGCCGGGCCCTGCGAAAAGAGGGAACCGGGGAATTTAAGCCTAATTTCATCTTTCGAAGGGATGGAAATACCCTAGCGGGCATTATTGTATCGTTTGCATTTGGTCTAAAATGTTAGCGTAAGTATTACAGGTACCTACCTTTCACTTAACAAAACTTTGCTTAAATTGAAGAAAGAACAAAAACAACCCCCCCAAGAAAAAAAAAAAAACAAAAAAAACCAAACAAACAACAAAGAAACAAAAGCAAACCAAAACAACGAAACAAAACCGACCATTTCACAGCCTGCTTCATTTTCGTAGCTCAATGCATACATGCATATGTAGCGTAAAGTATTAGGTGGCAGGAGTGTGAAACGATCCGATTACTTCTGACTGGGTGGGAAGAGAGGCAGGAGTGCGTTTATTTCAACGAATGTCTTAAAATCGTGTTCTTTGATGGCTGCCGGCATCCGCTGGTTAACTTCTACTGGGACGACTGTTCCCAGAAATAAACTTTCAAATATAAATAAACTTCTAGAATTCATAGGAATTAACTTGTTAGCGGATTTACCGGGGCAGAAAATTAGGTGCAGGCGCTGCTGTCAGCTCCGGGAGGGAGCGGGCACGGCAGCAGCCGTCTTTTGGGAGGCAGCTGATCAACGCAACCCGCTCTCGGGCTTTTTTCTTTTTATAACCTGTCGTATAAAAATATATAAAAATGTATAAATGCGCATTGTGAAATACGTCTTCGTATAATTGAGGATAAATGTATTTGAGAACTCTGCCGTCCGTTCAGAGATATGCCGCCCATAGAGCAAAATAGGAACCGTGACCGGGTGAGTTACTCGTTTGTTTTTTTTTTTCTTTTTCTTTTTTTCGGCGCTTAATTCAAGCCCAGCGCAGGAGCGGCGAGAACACGAGCCCCAGCCCCCCTCCTTCCTTCCCCCCCAGCTTTGATCATCTCAGAAACACATTTTTGGGCATCCCACACAGGATAGAGGTGGCGATGCTTCCCTCGTGTCTTGGTCTTCTACGGGAGCATCTCAAGTGCAAATTATTCAGGGCAGTTGGTGCAGATGTCAGGAACTTCTGCTGGCGTCTCTCTCACCTTCTCCGGATCCCGAGAGCTTGCCAAGGCTTTACCGATCGCCTTGGCATCGCCATCAGGCTCCCTCCTCTACCAGAGGTTCACCCGAGTGGGTCGATCCTCTTTCGCCTTCGGTGATTAAATCAGGAGCCGGCGGTGGCCGCTAAAAACTCAGTCCCTGAGGTGTCTCCCCCAGGAGCAGCGGGGACTCGCTGCTTCTCAGAAACGGTTCACACTTTCTGTTACAGCTCTCGGTTCATGGTTTTATTGGAGCTGCGGCAGTTAAGAGTGAAGGGGGGTGCTTCATTATTAATTATTTTTATTATTTTTCTAAAGAAAAAATTCTGGGAAGCCAAACGGTGTGTTAGAGAAGATGCTTGCCCTGCGGCTAGCACTGGCGAAGCCCCGTTATCTTGAAGCCAATGCCGGTAAACCCGCCCCGATGCCCTGGCCCCCACCGCGGCCCGGGGAGGGAAGGGGCCGAGGGGTCCTCGCTGCCTCGTCCTTCCGCGCCCCTCTCCTCCTCCCCCCTGAAGGAGGCCGGCAGAAACGCGGAGCTCGAGTCCAGCCCGGGGCGGGGGGGCACGGGGGGAACGGGTGTTGGCTTGTCCTGGGCTTGTGTCGCATCGTATCTGGTGGCGGGGGCAAATTGGGCTCCAGAGAAACGGCTTTCATAGGGGTTAATGCGTTTCGCCGCCCTGAAATGTCCCGACGACGTCTTCCCCCGGCGCCGAGGGAAAGGCAGGAGGGACAGGGAGAGGTATCCCATTTATCCCGGGAAATACGGGAAATGCCTGAACCGAGGGACACTGGCTGCCATAACCATGCAGCCCCACAGAAACCTCTCTGTCCTTTGTGTGAAGAAAGGCTTTGTGCAAAGATCAGAAAGGATAGAAGAAAGTACTAATTAAACTTTCAGCCTTACATACCACTTGGTGAGCGCCCCACGCCTTGCAGTTCACTCACTGGGAAAATGCTCTCACCCACCCTCATTGCAGTCCTCCTTCCCCTCCTCTTGACATTTTTCTTCTCTCCAATTCCCTTCATCTTCTGGGTTTTTGTGTTCCTGACTTGTCCCTGTATTCCCTTCGATGCTTTTCTATACACTTTCTTCCCAAAAGCTACTTAACTCATTCTCCAAACCGTTTTTAATTGACTTTTCGCACATCACCTTCAGTTTTATGTTTAAGAGGTACTGATCTGTGCTTGCATTCTTTGATTTGAAACTATGCTGTCTTGGGAAGGGCATTAAGGTGTTCCCAGGAATGCCAATATATGAGACCAGCAAACTGGTGCCAGGCTGGTGGAGCACCTTGTGCCTGGCTCTGGGCAGCCACCGGCAGCAAGGCTGTTTGGTGCCTTGAAGAGACAGACAATTTGAAGGGCCCTTGGGGGGGATGCGGCAAATGTTACAGTGCATGTGGGCACAGCCCTTTATCTGACACCCTGGGACTCGATTTGTAATTCACACCATCACCTTAGCTAGGCCTTTAATGAAACATTATTTTTTGTTTTGTTCCCAAGTTACTGGCTTGTTATTAAATCAATCAGAAACATACCCACTTAGGAAAAACACAGTATAAATGAAAACACATAAATTAATAAAAGCTAATGAATAGTGGAAGCAGCGCCTAAAGCAATGACTGCCTAACACTGGACTTTGTGATACTCTTTGAGCTGGGCAGCTACAGCCTTGCCACGCTACCTGGCAGGAGAAATGCTTGTTTATGTGTTTGTACATACCCGCATACATATATACAGTATTAAGCAGCAGCAGAGCTGGAGCACTGGAGCTCTGCCACTGTTCCTGTCCCACTGTTGAATGCTCCTTGGCAGCCCTTTGGCCCCCATCACCTGCCTGATTCCCAGCCAGGGGTTACTGCAGCCTGGGAACTACATCACCTCCTTCTTTGGGAGGCAGGGAGTGCTCACCACACGGACAGGCTCCAGACCAACCACCACAGCTGGCCAAGCCCCACTGGGGCACCTCACCTGGCAATGCATGGCCCAGAGTCCTCTCCAGGAAGGCTCTTCTGCAGTGGTCTTCTAACCATGGCCAGAAGCAGGGCAGGACCATCCTCCAGTGAACCAGCCCAGTAGCTGGAGCGCTAAGGAAGACAGGTATCTGCATGTAGGTCGCTCCTTTTAAGAGTTCAAGCACAACTGCTAGCAAACAGTAGCTGGTGGGCAGCAGACCCTCATCTACCTGCAGTTTATAAGTTTTAGATTAGCAGTTTCTTTTATACAGTAACTACTGGGTTCTGTGGGGAGGGACCAGATGTGGGTCTTTCTTCTTGCCACAGGGCTTTCCCAACGAAGGGGTGGAGGATCAGCCACCTCTCACTGGTGATCAGTGCTGAGCTCACCTCTGCCCCATCCTGTTGTGTGCTCTCCAGAGTAACCCGAGGGCTGGTTCTTACAATGGTCTCTGAAGAGACTATTAAGATAAAATTTAAAGTATGTTTGTTAATGTGGATTCTATTACTGTATTTAAATAATTACATGTTTCACTGACGTGATAAAAATGAAGCCTGGGACAAAACAATAAAGAAAATAGCAAACAGATTAAGTTTACTTCACATACAATTTTTAAAAACACATATAAAATGATAACAATTATTTCAGAAGTGTTTAATGACTTTAGATTCATTCTTGGATGCTTAGCTTGGGATATCATGAGGACTTTGGTTAGCCCCGAGGTATATTTTTATTAGCATTTT